AATAAAAATTTGTTTAATTTAATGATAATACAAACTATAGATATTTTTAAAATGAAATTATTTGTAAAAAAATTGACCTTATTGGGACTAATTTTGCATCTATAAAAATCTCTGAGACACTTCTTAATACTGATTATTAAATGACCAAATAAAATATTTACGATGGCTTATTTTGATGGTAAAATGATGTAGGGTTACAGAAAACTGTTATTAATTTTTCAGCGCTAATAATACATATACATCCAAAATTGAATTTCATTGTTTATCTACCTTAAATTTATTAGCTGTAGGGCATTAGAAAATGTCTCTTTTGATTTAGAATTGTGCATTTTACACGAACGGATACTATATAGTGATTAAATTCAAAATAAATTATTTAAATTTAAACATTTATCTATATAATCACATTTGTACGTTCAACCGATTTAGTTTATAATGATGTTTACTCGTATAATAAGTTGGCTGTACGCATTTTGTTGTAGAATAAACATAAACTAACTTAATTGTATAGATTGAATGTATTAAGCGAAAATTGTTAGAAACTTGAAATTAAGTATAATATAGGTATTCTTGGTCAAACAAAATGTATTGTTTTTTTTTGTGATATTGGAAATCAAAGCTTCAAAAAGTATTGAATATTAATTTATTTATATTGTGATTGCAGTTTTGTAATCTTTAATACGGTGTTATTTTTGTAATAATGTGCTCTGAATTTTCAATTAAACGTTAGTTAAAGAATTCAGATTTAATGGATCATAATTCAAAAAAAATAAATCAAAAAATTACATAATATACATATTTAATTTACCTTAAAGTAATTAAAATTAAAACCGAGAGTACCTCAGCAGAGAAATTGGTAAAAATGTTGATTAATGCGTATTTCTTGATGGTGGTAATTTGATACTCTTTACTGTTATCTCAGCACTAGGTATAATTTTTAAGTGAAACTCAATACATTTTTAAATTAAAAAATTTACCTTCTAAAAAAGGTTATGTAGCATTACAATAAGTAATAAAATATATTAAATTTTTACATTCCTAAATTTTCATTTTTATTTGGAACTTTATATTTATATTTATGTTTAAATTATTCCTTTAGCTTCAGTTGACACAATCCATAGTTCCATATACGTAAGTTAAATGTAGATTTTTTTTTTATTGCGTGTAAGACTTAATTTAAACTAACCTAACCAGAGTCTCTTGGAAAACATATAATAAAGTAATAAAGAATTTAAGTTTTAAAATATTTGTGATGATTGTACTTTAATTATTATTTATATTAAATAATAAACATTATTCAATATATAAATAAATAAAAAAAATAGTTTATTAAAGTATATAGAATATATAGAATTAAATTAATAAATACTTAACCTGCAGTATATATATATATATATAATGATGATTAATCATAACATCGCGAGAATACAAAGTCTTCAGTGTTTATGTAGTATGCGATGATATGTAACAATTATTAAATTGAAAAAAAAAAATGTGGTATGTATTATTTAATATTTTTGATTAAAATAAAAAAATGTCTTTTATTTTGTAAATATTATATTATGTACCTAGTTTTCTATATCATATTAGGTACAAATTTAGGTTAGTTAGCACTAACCTAAAATTATAACGTTTATTCTAATTTCTAAAGTGCACAATTTTATATTCTAAAGATATTTATTTTTATTTATTTATACTGTATTAATCAGGTACTTCAATTAATAAATATTAAAATCGACATATTGAACAAAATAAAATATTTCCTAATTAAACAAGAAGTGAAAACCTTATATATCTATACCATAACTGTTTCAAATCTTAAAAATGCCATTTTTAAAATTTATTCTTATTGCACATTTAGAGTATTAGAGAGTTGTATTTGAATATTATATATTTAGATTAATGTTCGTATAAAAAATAATTTACTTCAGTTTAATATTACTAAATTATTTAAATCGAAAATACAACAATAAATGTAAGTGATTAAATATACAAACAATTATACTCGTAAAGCGTACGCATATAAATAGTAACACATAAAAATAATTTTTCTTATTGAAAACAAGTTGACATTAATTTTTTTTGTTATTTAATATAATTCCTATTCAATAAAACTATAAACATTTTAGCATGCACATTCTTAACAGGGATTCAATAAGATTTAAGATTTACGATTTATGAATAAAATATTACAGAACTTTTACTGAAATGAATTTATTAAAAATTCAAAGTTTATTCATGTAATTCGAACTCGTAATTTTTTAATAATCATACAATAGCTTTAAGTACAATATGAATAAAACATATTATTGATGGCCATTTTAGTCATACATAAAATATCAAAAAAGAAATGTGGAGAAAGGGTTTTTGAGAAAATGTCTTGGAAGAAATTGTATTCACTTCTTGGATTTTTTTACAATAATACAATATATTACGTATACATGTACAGGATCGAATAGCTTTACTCTTAAATATTTCACTTAATTCACGTTTAATGTTTCCGTTGTTTCTATTTTATGATTCCTGTAGAAGTACTTTCCGAGAAAACAGTTTAAGGTGTAAAATCCAATAACAAATCGAGTTATATACTTATAATAATACAATTTCCAAAAGTAATAGTTATCATTATCCACCCTGTATACATCATAAACATTCAAATAGTAGGCAATAAAAAACTCCAGTAAAATAAGATATATATAGAGAATAAATTACTATTAAATTATTTTGAAGAACCCGAACCATATTATTCGTTTTAACTTTAATATTAAATATAAGAGTAATGTTTTTACATATGCATTTTAGATATTTGCTTGGCATATGTATACAAGGTCTTGCAATGGCCATTATCAGAATACATGAAAACATTGCATGTTCTTGTAATCCAAACTTTTATCAAAAATGGATGTAGAGCAAAAAAACATTTTGTGGTAGTATTTGAAAAAAAAAAAAACCTAAGTAACCGGATAAAAGTTTTCAGAAAAAGTATTGAACTGAAAAGTATCCATTACAAACCGAAAAAAAAATCTAACCTTCGTTACTATGAGTACATACACTATTTCTTCTTATAATTGTTATTCACCAGTAATATCATATATTAAACGTGAGTGTACGAATACACTTCGATCTAAATTTGTTTCATTTCAAATACATATTTTACCCAAATACCAATTGCTTATAAATCGTTCACACAATAATACAATTAATGATCATTTAAAATTTCGGTAATTATTATTAATATTTAGCAATCATCTTATCATTTTGACATATTTAGAAAAATTACAAAATTTCATAGTTGTCGAAAATATTTTGAATAAAATGATTTCAATTAAATTGTAAATCGAATTAATATGGTACATTGATTTATTAACAAATCAAATTGAATAAAATATCAAATGGTTGGAGTTTATTTTTTCTATCTGAGTATATTTAATAAGGTCATGTAATTTTACAGTACATAAACAAATATAAATGAAATCAAAATTAAGTTAAAAATATTAAATTAATCTTACACATGTTAATATCGGTACTTACCAATTATTGGTAAGACCTAATAAGTTAAATTGAAAATAAGAAATTACATAATATTTATATTTTATGCTGTAAGTAAATAAATTATATACGAGTATTATTTTATTTCTGTATTAAAATACTTCAAGTGTAATTTGATGTTATGACTCAATAGATTCATAAAGTGTTTTTTTTTTACTACCTGGGCATTTTTTTAAGAAATTTTTAAATGCATTGTAATGCCTATAATAAAGTAAAATTATTTTTCATTTTATGTCAAAAGTGTTTATGGCTATTACAATTTCTATTATAGACTCATAAATGACTTCATTAGGTAATATTAATTTATATATTATTCATATATTTATGTTGTCATTAATTTTAATTCACGGTTTATACCAAAAATAAAATTAGCATTTTTATGATATAGAAAATAAATTTATATTCATATTATATAAATATATGAGAGGTGTCATTAATAATTAAAGAATTAATTTGGATGTAACTATACTTGTATTACTATTTTGTATAATCAAAAATATTTAATGAATATAAAAATAAATCTAACTTTTTTGTTTTAATGAATTAAGTATTCTTTCTAAGTAACCTCTTGAATTTTAAGATGTTAGTGTAAATTTGTCAACAAAATGCTCAGGCTATAATTGGTCATTATAAAAAATATGAGCTAAACGATTTTGAATTAGTAAAGATAAATAGTGCACAAATTTAATATACTCATATATTTTGAATATTTTTAACTTATTTCATTAATTTTTCAGTTGATTATACATTTATTATACATAAATTATACTTATATGATTATACTTAATTGAATTACTATTGTCAGGAATAATTAATAAACATATATAAATTGTATGCCCTTGGTTGTAAACAATGAAAACCATAAATTTCATTAGAAATTAATATAGATGTTCGCATTAAATTTGATATTCAGTAAGATTATAAATCTTATTTGATAATGTTTTACAGGTATTTTACTCGGTAAAATATTTATTTGTTTACACTCTAATAGTAAAGTTTAAAAAAGTTTTTTTTAATTCGTACCATATCTAAATAACTTTGGAGTGTCAAGAAGTGATTTAATATTTTATTTCTATTTTCTTATTAAATCTAACTACAGAATTTTCCTTTCGCTAATAATTTAGTATTAACAGTAAAAAAGAAGTTGTTAAAATAATTAATTAGGAACAAATTTTTTTTAAGTTAATTTACTATAATGTTTAACGTATATAGAAATGCATAAAGAAATAATGTTTTATTTGTATAAAAGAAACAAAAATAATATATCTGAACTTTTCTTCGGTTTTTTATGTTGATAAACACTATTTCGTCTCCCTATAATCAAGATGAAGATTACCTCGAAATAATTATATCTGTAATTACAACAGTAAGTATGATATTTAATAATTCAATACGAAATTATTAAAATCAACTTACACATTGATAGTAGTGATAAATACATTTTTACTAACCTTGGCGTAATGTCTTGTGAATAAAATACGGCGGGAACATTCATTAATTCACGCAATATTTCAGACATTTTTGAGTAAAGGTATCCCATGGAAAGCAATGGAATCATATATCTGTAAATTATTGTTATACATTAATAAATCGTTTTATAAAATTAATATTATGGGTATATCGTTTTAAGTAAGCGTAAAAATAAAAACTTAACCATATTTGTTATTTTTGTCTTTCAGTAGATATATGGCAAACATTAATTTAAATAAATAAAAAAGGACGAGTAATCCAATAAACTATAAATTGTATAGTAAATTAAATCACTTTTCAATAGCTTCATATAAAGGATGCACGCCGAGTACTTACTTACGAAAGTTAACCTTTTTAAATGTTTGGAATTTTATTTTTCAAAAAAATAAAACTATGTATAAGTAGCAATCATGACAATTTAATATAACTATAGTATTTTTATGAAAAATGCAAAAATAAAATATAAAAAAAGCTGATTAAAATGAAACGAATTCAAGACCGAAGTTATGTTACTCTCACCAATACGAATAATCTTAACATATATATCACAATTAGTTAACGATGAAGGAGACATATGGGAATATATTTATACATTTACCCTACCTAATCTTAAATATGATATATTAATTGAGTATAACTAAATATCGGTTTTGGCATATATTGAATAATCATAAAATATATTACTTCTGATCATATTTTAATTTTATTGGTACAAAAACATTTATATCTATAAAGTTTTATCGATCAGAATGTATATGTCTACCTTTTTATTTGTATTTTTTATTTTACTTTTGCCTAAACATCTATTTTAATTTTCAATTTAAAAATAATTTTACGAATAATATTAATTAATTATTATGCTTGATATATATAATATGATACCAGTTTATAAACGATATCATATGTATATATATATATATATTGGAACAATTGTTTATATTTATTGTGAGTATTTTATATTTTTATTAACTAAATCGTACGGAAAATATTTTGCTATTTTTGATTAGAGTAATTTTGAGTATTTTAGTGTAATAGAAAAAATTTAGATTGAAAAAATTAAAAAATGTATACATTCAGCTCAGAACGTAAACAGTTTTGATCCTTAGAAATGTTGAGAATTTTGAAAATTTCCTGTAACTATTTCCTAATTGCACTTATGAATAGTAATTAGAACATTCCCTCAATATTTTAAATTAATTACTATGGTAGTTTTAGCTGTACGCTGATTAATCAGTGAGTAAGTGTTATTCCAATTTTATATCAATAGATATAAAATATACATTAAAGTTTAAAATAATTTAAATATAATGTTTCATATGAAATAAATATACCTATGTATATGTAAAACTGTTGTCATGAATTTCACTTATTATAAATTTATAATATCTTTTAATAAAATGAAAAATTTGGGCGTCTGCAAAACATGAAGTATCAATTGAATATCAATTATAACGGAAAAATATTTTATATGAAACATAATATCTTATATAAACAATTTTAAACTTCAAAGCGATTTTTTTTTTTTTTTTTTTATATTAAAACTTTGATTTCACAAAGAATTTCGTAATAATATTACAATATTTTGTGCTGTGTAATACTCGTTTTGTCCTCATATCATAAACGTTTTTATATTTTAAAATAAAAATAAGTTTTCATACATTGAATCATTTTTGAATAAAAGCTCAAACTGCATAAATTCTTTAGACTTATAATTATATTGGGTGCTTGAGTTTGAAAACGAATCAGTTTACCAAAATAAAAACATATATGTATATCAGCAATATGAATTTCTGAAAACTAATGCATTAAAAACATGTGGGGTTTTCCACTTCCTCAGATTTATATAACATTAAAACAGATCATAACTATTAACTTAATCAAAAGAAATTTTTTACTAGAAAATCTATCTTCATATTATAGAATAATAATAAATATTTATAATTATGCATCATATTAATTTTCACAACATACAAAACAAAACATAAAATGAATTTTTTTTTTTTGTAACATAGTAAGTTAATGACCCTGGTAATTCTGTTCTCAGTGTTTAGTTTAGAAAAATTATAAATATTAAAATATTTATAGGAAAAAAAAATACGTAATAAAATATATGGAAGAAAAGAAAATGTAGGAAAAAAAACATTGTTTCTGCACACCATTTTAAATCATCTAATCATCTAAATAATTTTTTACAATAATAAGACTATTTTTCCCAACAAAAATTTAAATAATACGATTGAACGATTTAGAAATTTAATTTATATTTTTAAGTTTAAGAATCTGTACATTGTTATATGTATTTTTTAGAATAATGAATATATTTAATAACAAGCTTATTAATGTCGAATCCTTTAGAAGAGATGCCGGCCTCGGAGATATTTCTGTAGCTTTAATGTTACATAATATGAGTATAGGTATAACGATGAAATTATTATGATGTAATATAATGATTAGGATAAGGAAATTTATTTTTTCATATCATATTGAAGTTAATATAACAAACAGCATAATTTTGAATATCCGCAAAACGTATGAATATAAAAATCTATAATTAATGCTTTAAGAATTTTCGTTTTTATACTCAAAATGACTTTCGACAGCATTGGGCCTTACGATATTGTTTTATTTAAATGTTATTTAATAATTTTAAGGTTATGATAAATTTTATTATTGATTCTATGAACTCTTGACAGTTATTGACGTTTAAAAATAAATATATGTCAACGGATACATTTCAAAATTTCATTTGGTTCATTCGGCTATTACTTACCGTTTGAGAAACATTTTGCACTACATACAAACGTACGACGTGTCCGTAGGATAATCAAATTTTTTTTGAATACGCAATGTTTTTTAAAATACACTCTTAAAATATCAACGTACTACCAGACCGTTCTTCAAGGTGATTAAAAATAGTTTTGTATTTCTATAGCTGTTTAAAAGCCTTCGAATGGTCATAAATTAAGGACGTACACCGTTTGGGCGAATCGACTCAAAATGTAGTCTTTTTGGGCAAATAGATATATAACGTTTTGGTGAGGATTATTTAACTAAAAATACCGTTTGAATGACATAAAAATACTTATAATTTACACTCAACAATTAATTAAACAAAATTGTATAAAATATAAATAATTAACAATAAGTTCTGTTTAAAAAAAATATTGATATGGATTTTAATAATATTATTACTTATAAGTAGGAAATAATCTACAGTCAAAAAATTAAAATAATAAAATTAAATTACAGATATTATAATTATTAGTAGTTTTTAAGCAATCTATTAGCCTGATATTTTAAACTTAAACATTTTATGTATTCTAATTGGTTAATATCCCTTCTTTTATATTTATTTCATATTTCTTGTATAAATTCTTTATTTTTTATTAGCAATAATTTCATCCGTATCAGTCATCACATTATTAGCTCGCACAGGTAAAAATAATTTCACGCGCCCAAACGGTATGATGTCACCCAAACGGACTATTATTTTTTTGGTCAAAATTATTACCTTCGCCCAAACGACCACCACTCTAAATTAATACATGATTACGTACATTAGTGTTTGGAAAAATCCGGATTTACCGAAGTACGAAAATCCGTAATCCGGAGAAAAATTCGGATTTTGAAACATTGAATTAATATTTTTTTATGGATTCCTTATATTAAAGCCTTGATAAATACACATTTTTTTTTTTTTTTTTGTAATGAACTAATATATTTATAGAAAAACTTTTAAAATAAAAATATAACAACAAAAACAACAATTATCAATATCACAATAACATGTAGACATTACGAACTAAATTCAATTTATACATGGAATTAGTAACAACATTTATAAGTATCAGAAAAATTTATCCAAAAAGACACAATAAATAATACTTTTATTAAATATATTATATATATTTATGTATTGAATATATTAAATACAAAGTGAAGTGCAAAAATATTTATCGGTTTTAAAATTTTAAAGTTCAAATACTTTTTTTATTTAAAATAGAAAATGTTCGTTTATTTACAATAGAATTTATAACGAAAAATTTAAGTTTCTGATTTAAAATATAGAAATCCACAATGTGAAAATCCAAATATTCGGATTTTCAGTTTTCAAATCCGAATTTCGAATTTTTCGGATAACCGGAGAATCCGGATTTCATTCCTATCACTAACGTACATACATATGCATTCCTTGTATGGTACTGGCAAATACTGTTGTGCGTACAATAAAGAATATGCGTTTATTTCGTTTCTTCAAAATTATTTATACGAGTTTACACAATAATAAAGTTTACTGGTAGTTTCAAAGTACAAACAACCGTTTCTTTGTCGCCATATTGTAATTTTATTTGTTTTTTAAAACCCAATTTTTGGATGTTTTATTTAGGTAACGATTAAAAGGTTAGATTTTTCGTTTTACTTAAGTTTATTACGCAATATTAAAACAATGTGTTTAAAATAAGGTTTAAAATAATCCACTATGTGGCATTAACACGACTGATGATTTTAATTAATTAGTTTATGTAAACATAATATATGGTTGGTTAAAACCAAGGGTATAATATAGTTAAGTTATAATAGTTATAATAAGTTAAGGTTTAAAGAAAACTCAACGTATTTTAACAATTTACAATAATTTTTTTAACATATTTTTAACGATGATCGGAAGAGATTTATGTGATTTAAGAAATATTCAATAAATTAAAAATATCTTAGGATAACACCCAGGGATTTCAATATTCCTAAAATGGTTATTTCAATAGTAAATGATTTGGTATATTAATTTTACATAATTTGATCCTACTTTCATAGCATCATATAAATATCCTATTTATTGGCTATATGATATATAATATTTAATTGTTAAGCTGTATTTGTTAAATTATACTCTGTACATCTACATTACACTAAAATACTTAGTTCACCTAGCTGATGATGACTCTTATTCGTTTGGAAATTTGAAATAATAATTATATACGGAAAAAAAATTTCTATAAATAACTTATTTGTTTATATATTTCTATATTAATTTATGAATATTAATAAAATAATTAAATAATTATAATAATGTTGTTGATAGTTTGCCATTTTT